ATACCTTGCTGTATGATGTGGCTTGGATGCATAACCTTATTTCGGCCCGTATCAATTGTTTGGTGGAATTTAGCCGTAGGGGCCGTGATGGCCTCGTTGCCCTGCACCAGCGTTACTNTGCGCCTTCGGAGCGGCCGCTGGTGGATGCTGTTACCCGTGAGTTTGACGAGGAGTATGCTAAGCAGCGGGCAAAAGTGACTCTTCGACAGCAGAAAACGTAAGCCTCCAGCCTCATGCCGACTCTCTTACCTACCATTCATATTTTCTACCTCGTTCCCAAGACTCCGCCGCGTTGCCTCTAGTTCGGCTCGTGCCACAGGTAACTTCGCTCGTCGCTACTTTGCCATTCACCTTCGCCTCCACCCAGCCTCTGCTTCTCCACAGAAGCGGCGACCTCCTTCGCCGTTGTTACGCCTCGTCTATGCGAATCCTCCTCATCCGACTGGGTCTTCTGCCTACCCGGTGCGCGCCCCCTCTCTCCGCGCATCCGTCTCTCCGGTCCTTTCTAACGGTTGCCTACCTTACTGCAGGACTCGCCCCTTGCCTGTCCGTTGCCGGGTAGGCTTTTCTTGCCTTCCCCGGCCCCACTTGGGGCGCCCCTCCTTGGCTCGTCCACTACCTTACTTCCATCCGTTCCTGCCCCTCGGGGGCCCAACCCCTCCGCCCTTTCTGTGGGCCCGATGCCCGCTCTGGACTTATCTCACGCCCCCGGCCTCTCTGATGCTGCCCCCCCCGGTAGGTTTGCCCCCGCGCCTGGGTCCTGTCTCTTCTCGCCGTCGCGCTTACCTCTCCTACCTTCTTTTGCCCTCCAGGCACTGCCGGAGCCTACTCTGCCCCAAATCTTGGCCGCGCGCGTCCGCCCCACTTCCGTACCCTCTGCCGTACTAGACCCCTCTTCCAGCCGCCAGCTTTATACCGTCTCCCTCGCGAAGGCCGCCACCGTCTGCGACAACTCGCTGGCCCGCGAAACCATTGCCCGTCAGGAAGCTGCCGGTCGGGACCTCTCTGCCTGGCTGGCCTCCCTGCCTCATGGCCGTACCCTGCTATCCTGCACCAAGGTCCTGGCAGAAAGGGAGGCCCGTAGGCATCAGGGCAATGGCGGTCTGTTTCAGGCCCCAGGTCGGGGCCAGGGTGGCGGCCTGCGCCGGGGTCGTGGAGGTGGCCGGGGCGGTTTTCCGCCTGCTCGTGCTGTTGCGGCAGCTCGGTAGCGCCCAACCCCCGGTGGGTTCGGGCCAGGCCCACTAAAACATGTCGTCGCATTCCGCTGCACCCCT